TATCAGCAATTTACTCTTTATATTTTCGATTTTTCTTTTAATATATATGTGTGTGTGTGTGTGTGTATAATACTTCTATTCTTGTATATCTATAATAGTACAAATATATCTACGTCTGTTCATATCTATCTATCTATCTATCTATCTATCTATCTATCTATCTATCTATCTATCTCAGTCTATTTATATCTATCTGTCTATCTGAGCATGTTTATATGAGACCATTATTTTGAGAATAATCTCAGTGCTCCGGCTTTGTACAAGCCTAAGCTTATTTTAGAAATTATCTCAGTCAGAAGATCTTTTTTTTATTATGAAAATTTACCATTCCTTATTGTAAAGGTTTTAAAAGCAATCCAACCATTTTCCTATTGGTGCAAAATTCAAAGTGAGCAAAAATGAATAAAAAAAAGTAATGTTTATTAAATAACCAAGATGAAAATCCAGGTTGCCGCATTCATTTCAACAGAGTCTGCCTGTCCTTAAAATACACAATCAAAATCCTAATCCTAAGTGATAGAATACTTCAGCTGACGGCGGAGTAATTACTTAATTCAACCGTCAAAGTATGTTTTTTGATTGCTTTTCTTGAACTTCACTGATTTCACGACAAAAGTGTTTGTGATTGCACAATATTATTTAACGAGTAAATTTGAGTAAAGCTTTGAACGTGACTTAAAATCGTTTTTCATAACTTGGGAGTTCGTCTTCTAAGGGCAGCACTATCGACTATTACAGGGGTCGGCAACCTTTTGCTATGTGCCGACTTAGGGTTTTAAAATCATTCACTGTGCCAACAGCATACGTATTTTTATACAAATCAAGGTCAATATACATGTTCTACAATATGTTTTATATAGTAATATATAGTATATATACTTCAGTATATATTAAACTTGAAACAGCTAAACAACTTCGTTATATACCGTACCTATGAACACTAATGTCTAAGTAGTTCACCACTAGCAGTGGTTTACCTACTTCACGCCGCTGGCGAGTATTGTAATTTGTTGATGCTATAAAGATAACCATTTCACCTCTAACCTCCGTTTTGGTTATTCCTCATTCAGTAACCTTTTCTAGGTTACAACAATCTCCTTTGCTTTGTCCTAGTTATTGGTTCGGACTTTGTGATGTCATTTGCGGCTGCGTGCCATTGGAAATTGCTTGGCGCACCACGTGTGCCACGCGTGCCGTAGGTTACCGACCCCTACTCTAGTAGACAGACCAGTCTACGCTTTATACCATCATCTATTTCTTCTGGCTGTTGAATACAAAAGGAAACGAATGAAAATGTAATTCAAAGATATTCTGCATGAAAAGACCAAAAGATGTTAACTATTAGAGTATAGTAGGGCACCTCGAGGTGGTGTAATGGTTAGCAAGCTTGTCTTGCTAGAACAATTACGACTGATTAGTGAGTTCGATCCTCACTGGGTGCCCCAAACATTCAGCCTTGTGCCACATCTAAGCTACGCTTGGAAAATCACTTTGGGCACCTCGAGGTGGTGTAATGGTTAGCAAGCTTGTCTCGTTAGACCAATTACGGCTGAGTAGTGAGTTCGATTCTCACTGGGTGCCCCCTAATTTCGGCCTTGTGCCACATCTAAGCTATGCTTGGAAAATCACTATTAGAGAATAGAGAAAGAAAGCAACATCATTTGCGCGGATGGGGGTGTGTCAATTAGTGTCATTCATTCTTTTTTTTGCGATCTCCTAATTTTTGAAATTATTATTTTTCATCGATTACCTTCTGGGATGTGACAGAAGCGAAATCCGCCTCTCTCGGGAATAAATTGTGGGTTGTACGTGCGACGAACAGTACAATTTTGTAGCAAATCCAAATGTCAACATTCTCCGCAACTTCAAAGAGAGGTTTCCCCACCCACTATTCATTTTCCCACACCCCCAAGGGCACCTAACATGGCTTCGCGATTTAGAAATTCCCTTCCACTTTATTCTAGATTCAGATACCTGAAATGGATCCCTTTGTTTTGACATAGCCGAGATGAAGACCAGACAAATATATCATTGATAATATCAACAAAGTAGTATGTCTATATCCCCAACAGCTTTGCAATTGCCGGAGATTCCCTAATCGAAAAAAAAGTGTAATTACCATAAAAGTAACAGCTCACTCGACATCGAGTTAGATTACGCCATCAAAAAATACCAGAGTCGTCAACCCAGAGGATTGTTACTGTTGTTGTCCTTTTTGTAATCCTTGAGTATTACTCTTATTTCATTGTGTTTGCCTAAACAACCAACTGCGCTTCAAAAGATCAAGTGAGAGCTGATTGGTCAGGAACGCCTAGACAACCACACTAAGGAAATCAGATACCAATTCTTTTTCTTTTTTTTTTTCCTTTTTACTCAAAATTCAGCATTAGCTAGAAACCAGAGAATGGAAAGCATTGACACTTAAATACACTGAATTTAAAGGTCAGCATTTCCATTTTGAAAATTTTGAATAACGGTTAAAATAAATGTCGACATTACGGCCATCTATGTTGCCTTTTAACACGAGGAATGAATCTGCAAAAATCGTGGAAATATTATTCATTTTTCTATCTGATATGAAATGCAGCACAAAGAACTTTTAAGAGGAATGCATCTAAAAGTCCAACGTTATTTGAATATTATTAAAAATTCGAACCAGGAAAGATTCTGTTCCTGCTCGTGTAACGAATTCCCATTCATTGGGATATCTTTTTATTGATACTTGACAACAAGCATGCCTTTAATCATCTCAGTCACTGACATCTAATCTAATGGTTAGATCGGTCATGGGCAAACTGCAGCTCGCAGGTCACATGCGGCCTGTTTGGCTTTCTGATTGGCACTTGTTCAATCACACATTCTCTCATACATGCCAATATACAGAGACAATGATTAAGTATAATTTTATTGATTTTTTTAACATCTCGTTGAAGGTAACTTTTTCATCATTTTAAACCATTGGCTATATTTACTAAGGAATATCATACATGTAAACATTTTTTGCCTTAGAAAAAGGAAACGTCCATATTGTATTTTTCTCTAGAGAAGAAATATATATTTTACTGTTAAAAATAATTTTTGTCTGGACTAAAGAATAAATTCGAAACAAGTCACACGTAACACCATGTATTAATTACTCATCATGTTATCAGTGATAAGATTTTAAACAAAACTTCATTTTTTTTTATTAAAGAAAGAATCTCTTCTCCAAATAAAAAAGGGACTTTTCACAATTTCTAAGGCACACAATTACGTGCATGGTCTTCTGTAGTGAAAATGGCTGCAATACTGCCAAAGAAAAATTACCTTGTTTTTTGTTAAGTAACGCGGATCGCCTTATGATGAACTATATTTTATGCGATCCATTGTTCGAAAAGGTTTGACCTTGAATAGTCTAGATGAATTGCTCGTGCTTTATGGTCCTAAACAAATCTATGAAATTCGAAGGTTATGGAGAAAGCGACTTAAAAAAGAAGTTTTCTGTAATAATAATACGAAGAAACGATGTGAATAGATGAGTTTAGTAAAATTACTCGAACAATTAGTGGATTGATATCTTTAATACACGATGCTTATGCTCCATAAGCCGGTGTAGGATTAATTAAACAAATACATTTAAAATATTTTTCATTAAGAAGAACAGCCCAAGATGCAAGGTACGAAATGTCAACATCAATAAGGTGAAATTGGCAGTTGATCTTAAAAATGCCCTATAATCTGTTGTTAACTGGGGCAAAGAATGACTTGTTAATTTTAACGTCTCCAAAACGAAATTGCTCTCTTTTGAATCCTTTAATCATCTGAGAGAACCTTTTCTGGCTTCCATCAGCATGGCCGATGTTAACCTTAAGGAAAGTGACTTATTGCGCCTTCTCGAGCAAACGTTTTTTCGCTTACGTAAGGTTGGGAAGATTATATTCAACCAATTGCTAAGTCTGCTGCTAAGAAAGTCGGTTCACTGTGTTGTGCGAGACAATCTTTCTCCGCAGAATCTTACACATTTATAAGTCTATCATTTGTCCATGTATCGAATATTGCTGCCACATTTAGTTTGGTGTTTCTACTACATATGTAGAGATTTTGCAATGTTATTGGTCCTGAGCTGGCATCTCGGCTTCAGTCATTTTCCCACCGCCGTAACGTAGCTTTCTCTGTCTCTTTTCTATAAATACTTTCATAGTAATTGTTCTGATGAACTTTCCTCTTTGACAGACTTTATGAATTTAAGTGCATACTAGATTGGCAGTGAGGTCTTATTTTACATTTGAAATGGCTAAATGTAACCGTAAGTTCTATACTAACGGTTTTCCTCTCGCACTTCTCGCTTGTGGCACTCTCTTCCCACTTTTGCTTCCCAGTCAACTTTGATCTTCAAAAATTGAAATGCAGTGTCAATCGTTATCGCCTTTCTTATTAATTGCTGTTCTTTTTTTTCTTAATATTTTTCCCATGTCGTATCACACAGAGTAACCACCTTCCTTCTTAGTGGCTTTATTGCCTTGCTTGAGGTGAAATGATTAAAAC